GAAAATGGAACTGGTATACAGAGTTCAAGTTCTAGCCTAGTCTGTTCTGTTCATTTTGCATAAATACCCTTGGAAATGGCATGAATCTATTTCCTCTCCCTCCAGGAGTTAATATAAGAATAGACTGGAATCTCTGAACTTGGATGACAACCAATCTAGGAAAAGGAAAACTCTGAATTTAAAAGCCTGAGGAAGATAATCAAAAATATATCCACTCACTTTCCCAAGAAGATATAGCAATTCGCAAATAGTAATAAAAATTGTGTGGAGAGCCATGACTGCTTATGTCCTGAAGAGATATGCCATTTTGAAAAGATTATAACTAAACACAGTTTTAATTATTAATTCTCTTATGCCTTCCATTTTTATTGCATAGAATATATTGGTATTATATCTAGGAGGTAGAGTTTTGTGTACTACCATTAATTTCATTGTTTCTCAAACTACCAATTGAAGAGCAAGTTTGAATTCCATTCGAATACATTACATTCACTTACATGCTAATACCCTTGGGAAAGGTATGAATCCTCTTCTTCTCCCACCAGCTATGGGTAAATAGCAGGACAGACCGGGTTCTATAGCCTTGGACGGCAGAAAGAAATGGCAACCTGTGGGAAAAATCTGCCTTGTCAGTTGTGTATTGAAAGATACATGATCACCTAAGCATGTATCACACATGGCACATAACTGATCATCTCCTTCTTAGAAAATACCTTATAAATAATATTTCCTTTTAGTAGAGTTTTACTATTAAGTCTTGTTTCTAATATATACAAGGGTCACGTTAAAAGTTCATAGGCTGACTAAGATGGAATGTGACCAAATGTGGTTTATTTTTCAACATTGTCCCCTTTGGGGTCAACACACTTCTTCCATTAGTGTTGCAGTGCTTGGATCCTATTGGTAAAGAATCTTTCATCCTGTTGGTTAAAAAGGTCATCAACAACAGATATGATGTCATCATCACTACAATACTGGTTCTCAACCAAGTGTTGGAGAACAGATGATAGTCAAATCAGGAGAATAGGAAGGGTGATTTAAAGCCACAGTCATGCACAACAGCCATTGAAACCAAGAACTAGTGTGCTGGAGTATTGTCCTGATGAAACAAGAACCCTTTCATTAGTTTTCCTGGGTGTTTGATCTTGATAGCCTTTCATAATTGCCTCATCAAGTTGGCATAGTACTTTCCATTGATGGTGTGACACTTTTGTAGATAATCAATAAGCACAATGCCTTTTGCATCCCAAAAAATTGAGGCCATCACTTTTCCTGCAGATGAAACAACTTTGGCTTTCTTTGAAGCAGGTGACAAGGGTGTATGTCCACTGCATGAATTGTCTCTGACCCAAAGTGATGAGCCCACCACTTAGGAAACATTCAAGGAAACCAGCTGGATCTGCCTCAAACAATATCAGATTTTCCCATGACATGATCAGCCTGGTGCACTTTTGATAAGGTGTCAGAAGATTTGGCATACATCGAGCAATAAACCATCATCATGCCAAATTTATTGTGCAGAATATTCTAAACTCTCTCACATGATATGCTTAATAGCATTGCTTATTTAATTTATAGTCAATCACCTGTCATCCAGTTCCATGTGGTGAACATGATCAATGTTTTTCTCGGTAATGGCAATTGCACAATGTCCAGACCTTGGGTCATTTTCAAGACTCCCCTCCCCCTCCTAAATTCAGGTTCCCTTCTTTTGCACTGTTGATAAAGCTGGAGTGTCATCCCCTAATGTAACCACCATGTCAGCATGAATGTCCTTGATGTCTAAACTCTTTTTCTGCAGGTACTTAATAACACAACAATGCTAAATTTTGTCCATTTTCAAAAGAACTTGCTACAAGTTACTTTCAAAGTTTTCTTTGAACAATCAAATATCAGTTTACCTGGAAAGAAACAATGCAGTTATCAATAAGAAGAATTGAAATTAATGCATGCAAGACTTCACAGCTCTCGCATCACTCCCTCATAGTCAGCCTATGAACTTTTCAGCCAAACCTCCATAACTCTCTTTTCTTTCCTTTTTTTTTTGTTCTTTCTCTATCTCTCACACAAAACCAGATTAAACAATTGCAAAGTTGGTAGGATTCATTTATTTTTAATATTGATTCATTATCCCACAGTTCAGTTCAATCTGCTGCTTTATGTTTTTGCTTCCTAAATCACTAATACTGCATATTTATCTATATCAGATTACATTATGTTTCATCTAAAAATCTTTCTAGATTTTCGTAATTTAAAGAGAATCCAAACCAAACAAGAAGATGGAAGTGTATAAAAATTAATAGGGTCTCAGTTCATTTACCAGATTAATTTCCAACTATATTTTATAGGTTTGGCACCATGTGAAACCAGAAGACTAAGATATGAAATAAAATTTATAGATGGTTATGTTTTCAGACAAAGCTATAGTAATCACTAAAATGGAGAGTATTGATGAACTGGTTATATGTCTATGAATTAGAAAGGGTATATGAGAATTGGTCTCATGAATAATTAAAACTACATTGTTAAATTATAAATACTTCATGTTGGACACCCGATCAAAAGTAAAGCCTAATGAAAGTTTCCTCTCTGATGATTCATAACACACTGGAAATTAAAAACCAACAAAGGCTAATCAGAAAAATCATTTCCAACTCAAAAAATGACATTCAGAATTGGCTCTATGTTAAAACAAAAAAAGAAAATTCTTTTCCAGCTAATGAAAAGTTTTTAAAAAAATAAACATATATATTTGAGGCATTTTTATGGAAGCCAGCCCCATAAGAACACTTAATGGCATAACAAAACACAGACTTCACCAGATCATCCAGTTACCACCCTAATTTGCTCAAGTATAGTTCATTCCTCTTAGTACCATCACAATGAGAAACCTGATATCAAAAGAAACAATTTTAAATCACAGCTGATAACAATAAGAAAGAACTTATTCAGTTTCACTTTTATTATACCCTTATCCTTTTTTACTACTTTCAAATAAATTCAACCTACTTTGAAATGTATCTAATTTCAGGAACTTTATGCATGCAAGTGAATTACTACAAAAATACATCTTCCTTACATACAAAAGAAAGAAACACTGACAAAATTTAATTTCTCTTTATTCCAACTCTTTAAAATTCAAAGAGCATAATATATGTTGATAAATATATGTCATTTGTTGATGTCATTTGTCAATGTAACTTGTTTTTTGGTTTTTTTGTTTGTTCATTTTTGCCATTTAACTCCCATTATCAGAATGTTTTAACCCAAGAAGGTCTATTTCTCAAACATAACAGATATATGACCGGCACTCGCTTGAGGTCTTTTTCCACTTAAGCCAACAAAACAGTAAAAACAATCTAGCTAAATTGGAAGAAGACAGATGATGATAAAAAGAAAGAATCATAATGATTTGAAAAAAATGGCTATAAAGCTATTTTTTTAGATAAGGCTATAATAACCATTAAATTGGAAAGTATCAAAGAAATAGTTATATGTTTATGAATTGGAAAGAGGGTGTGAGAATTGGTCACATGAATAATTAAAAGTACAATGAGTCAAATTATAAGAACTTGTGAGAAGACAAATGATGATAAAACAAAAGAGAAGATTTGGAGAAAGATGATTATAAACTTAGAAAAATTCATTTTTTTCTGTCCTAAAATTTGAGTGGAAAAGCCTTCCCTAAAATTTGTGTTTCATAGAAAATTGACCAAAAACATCAGACTTCTCATAATCTTGGTATTTTCTAACAGTGACTTTTGGATTTTCCAGGTTGTAAAACTTTTAGAACCAGGATTTCAGCCAATTTGGAAGTTTGGTTCTGAAGTTAAGTGATGTTGAGTAAAGAATGCATTGACAAATTCATGCATTTATTTTTACATATCATTATGCCTAAACTGCCCCAAGTTTGAATTGCATTGAAAATATGTCCCAGGTCATTTGAATAGTTACAATTTGAAATTTACTTTTTTGTTTAGTGTATCTAACTAGTGTGGAAATACAGAAAGATTTTAAAGCTGGATGATGTCAATTTGAAAAATTGCTAATTGACTTGATATCAAATGTCCCACATCAAATTCCCAAGTAAATTGGAGGATAAATGATTATACAAGATGGGATCATATGATCTGGGGGAATTGGGCACCTCAAGGCAGTGTAATGGTTAACAAGCTTGTTTTGCTAGAACAATTACGACTGAGTAGTGAGTTTGATCCTCACTGGGTGTCCCCTACTTTTGACCTTGTGCCACATCTACACTTGGAAAATACTTATGATGTGGGGGAAGAGAAATGATAATGAATCATAAACGTCTGATTATAATGAGTGAAAATTTAGTTTTTATCACCAAAATTAAACATTGTTCTTGAGTATATTATCTTAAGTTTTTATTTACATTCATTTAATAAAATATGATTCAATAATTGTCTCCAAATAAATTCATAATTTACAGAATTTTTATTTTTGTATATGTTATCTTCTAACATGCAATGTTTGCAAGGTTGTTTGTAAAACAATCTTCTTCTGTGCATGGTCCCTTCAGGATATGAACAATCATGGCTCTCCACAATTTTCTATCCTTTGTTGCTCTTAGTAATCTTTGCCTTTTTACTATCCTTCCTATTCCCTACTCTGCTATTAGTTTACAAATGCCTGTTAGATACTTGCTCATTATTTCCCTCTGTCTTTTTTGCATTTGATATGACTTTGAGTGTCAAATTTTCTTCATTATATGTCCCAGAAATTTCAATTGACTCAATCTGAGTATAAGTATAAGGGTTCTTTTGTTTCATTTTTCCTTAAAATTTCTTCATTGTTTACACACTCCTTCCATGGTATTCTCAGCATCCTTCTGTAGAACACAGTTTTGTTACCTCATATCATCTCTCCATATAGGAGGATTGATATTACATAGCCATTCAGTACTCATTTCTTTGTTTCTAATGAAATTTTCCTGTTTCTTCATGCTTTGTTTAGTTTTTGAAAGGTGTCTTTAGGCTTACAGCCATATCACATTGTAATATCAGTGCCCATACGATCACTAAAGTTCAGCAACATTGAGCCTGGTCAGTACCAAGATGGGTGACCACTTGGGAATACCAGGTTCTGTAAGCTTGGATGTACTGGTTGTGTAATGGATAATGGTTCAAAATTGGAAATTGGCGAGCTGAGTCCCACTTGGGTTTGTTATCTTCATTTATAAACAAATACTCTTGAGAAAGGTTTCCACCTCTTCTCTCCTCAACTATGGGCTAATTAGTAAAACTTGTATCAGTAAAAATCATTATTATCTCCCCCCCAAAATTCTCACAATCTAAAAATATTTTTTGGATTTAAATAACCTGCAAAGGGTTGATAAGCCATAAAAAACAAATCAATAATAGAAAGTATCTTTCGCTATTCCAATGGACCTTCATATTTCAGTGTCACATCTTTCAATTGTCTGTTTAAACACTTGACAGATATTTAAACTCCTGTCCTTGTTTGATTTTGACATCTTCAATTTGTAGTTTGCAATTTAGGATCATTAACTGTAATTAATCTCAGCAGACCACCACTGTCCATTTTTGAATTTCACTTGACAGACTCCAAAGCTGACAGATTGGATATATTAAAATATTTAATTTTTCTTCCTTTATTTAAATGATAAAGAAGACCAATATTTATGCTTTCTTTTTTAGTTTGTCAATTCTTTAGATATAATCAGAAAGATGTAGATTAGAAGTCCTGACAATCTGCAATCCAAGTGACCTGGTCGTGACCTGACATCTTGGCTTCAGTCTCTTACCTGCTACCCTAACATAGCTTTCCTGTACCGTTTCTATAAATATTTTGACAGTAAATGTTCCGATGAACTTTCTTTTCATTCAGGTTTCATTTTTAAATGTTGTTAATTTTATTCGCCCCCACCCCTCTCTCTCCAGACAAACTGTACATATGGGAACTATTTAGGACTATATAGAGACTCTGAGGTATTATGGTGGCTGTAGTAAGAATGGTAAGTAAGAATGTTGTCTTGATGTAAGGAATACTGTGATATATTTGGGTCAATCATTATGGCCTGCCAAGCTTAAGATAAGACAGATTGAAGACCAGCCTTTCCCTATCACCCCTTTTGGCCTTGTGCCACATTTTTGTATTATATCAAAATAAATATTATTTTCTTCTATGCTAGAGATTCTGAGGTATTATGGTGAGTGTAATAAGAATGGTAAGTAATACTCTTACACCAAAACAACATGAATGTGTTGTTTTGGTGTAAGGATATTCCTTACTCCAAAATAAATACTACTTTCCTTTATGGGGTCTAGACTTTATGAATTTAAGCGCAGTATCAGATTGCATTGATGTGTGTTGTGGTGTAATAAATATCAGTTCTAAATGAGAAATCAGAGAGCTGAGTTCCAATTCCAGTCAGGTTCATTACATTCACATGCACACAAATACCCTTGGGAAAGGTATGAATCCATCTTTTCTCCTCCTTTTGAATAGCAAGACAGACTGGGAAATTTAGCCTTAGTTGGCAACTGATCTACGACAGAAAGAAATGGCAACCTACTGCAAGAAAAATCTTCTGCCTAGTTAATTATGAATTAACAGAGACATGATCACGTAAGTTTTTATCACATATGACACTTGAATAACTGACTAGATTAGTGGCAAAGTCTCATCAATTTACAGTTGAAATGGCTAAAGATGTAACCATAAGTTTTATGCTAATAGTTTCTTCTGTTGAACTTCTTGCTTGTGGAACTCTCTTCTGCATTCTTGCTTCCCAGTCAACTTTAATCATCAAAAATTTAAATGCAACATCAATCGTTATTTTCTATCTTAATTCTTGTTATTTTACTGTCTTCTTTCATTAATAATAGTTTTTCTTATATTCTCTAACACTCAGTAACTGCTTGTGACCTAGTGGCTTTATTGCCTTGCTTGGGGTGAAAAGATTAAAAAATTACAAATACATGCATTTACACCTGAATTTAAATTAGAGGCAGCATTGGTCGGTTCAAATAAGGTGGGAACATGTAACTTGTTTTATTTAGTATTTATTTTCAAATAGTTTAATGTTCATTATTTACATTATTCAGACTATTGTCCTCATCTTTGTCGCCATATTTATCACAACATTTCAGCCATTGTACACTCCGGCCTTCAATAGTCCGAATAATGTAAATAATGTACATAATACCTCATCTCAGAAATATAGACAGACTCAGTTTAATGTTCATTATTATCTTTTATAGGAATATTCCAGGAGTTAAAATTCAGTTGTGTGCATGAGTGGATTTGTGCATGCTGAAAGTTGTGGAAATTGTAAAATATATTTCTATAAATATCTATCAATTAATCAAAATACGCTCCACATACACAAACAGTATATTGATAAAAAGAGAGATAGATATATAAAATAAATAGAAACTATGGAGCTATCATACATTTGCATATTATTTGTTTCTATATACTATATATCAAATAAATCCATATATAGTATTTACATTAGTCGGACTATTGTCCTCATCTTTGTCACCATATTTGTCACAACATTTCAGCCGTTGTACGCTCCAGCCTTCTTCAGGTGGTTGGAATTTCGAACTGAACCCCTTTATTTCGATCACTGGGGTAGACTGTTCTAGTTCCACGTGCCATGTTTGATGGATGTCAGTTATCTCCTGCTAATTTTCCCTCTGAAAGTGCTCCACTGCCTTAACCAGGTATTGAACTCACCTTCTTTGGGTCTGTCACTGGATCTAACCAACTCCTTTATCCACTGTGCCATGTGTCCTTGAGGACTTTAGAGAACTTTCAGAGGGAAAATTAGCAGGAGATAACTGATAACTGACATCCATCAAACATGGCACGTGGAACTAGAACAGTCTACCCCAGTGATCGAAATAAGGGTTCAGTTCAAAATTCCAACCACCTGAAGAAGGCCGGAGCGTAAAAACAGCTGAAACGTTGTGACAAATATAGTGACAAAGATGAGGACAATAGTCCGACTAATGTAAATACTGTACATAATACCTCATCTCAGAAATATAGACAGACTCTGAAATCCATATATATATATATATATATATATATATATATATATATGTCTACAATTGCTATCCCACAGACGTACCATGGCCTCCCTCTGTCTCTTCTACAAGTATTTTCATGACAACTGTTCCGACAAACTACTTTCACTGGTTCCTGAAATACAGGAATTTAAGCTAGCTACTAGGCTGACATCTTGGTCCCACCCTTTCACTGTCGAAACGGTTAAATGTAACCGTCTCTTCTACTCAAACAGCTTCTTCTCCCGCACTTCCCGTCTGTGGAACTCCCTTCCCCTTACTTGCTTCCCCAATGACTATAATCTTCAAATATTCAAGTGTAATGTCAATCAACATCTGACACCCAGAGCTTGTTCCCCATCCTTCTCTGTGTCCTTTCCTCAAACACGCCTCTTTACTCTTGTTCTCAATCCTCTGTAACCTATTGCATGCTAATGGCACCCCTGCCTTGCTTGGGGTGAATTGCCTTAAAAAAAAAAATATACAGATATATAGATATATATATATATAAACAATTTTCTTGACTGCTCATCAGTGTTAGATAATGCAATTGAATTTATTAACAAATATTATATATTGCTTAAAAGATTATCTATATATATGTCTGTCTGTGTCGGTTTCTGTGTCTATGTTTCTCTCTCTCAAATGGGATTTGTATATGTACGTAAAAAAAAAATTTGTTAAATTAAAACATTTACTTTATCAAATATAATTTTAAAAAATTATAAAACTGTAATCCCAGTATAATAAATAACTGCACTAACATTGTAATAACCAGATATATTCCTTAAAAATTTAAATTATGTGACAGTCAGTCACCTGAAGATTGCATTGTGCTCCAGCTTCAAGGTATGCTAACAGTGAGGGATAATAAGAATATATATATCTATATATATATATATATATATATATATATATATTTATATATATATATATATATATGTATATATATATATTTATATATATATATATATATATATATATATATATATATATATATATATATATATATATATATATATATATATATATATATTTAATATATATATATATTTAACAGTTAAAATATTTGATGCTTGAAAATGGCTAAATGTATAGCTGAAAGTGCTAGGATAAAAGAACATTTGGACAGGTTTTATATAATTTGTCATCTGAAAAGAAAAAAATTATTAGATCAGATGAGAATTTGTATAGAAAATTAAATAAAAGCACCTTGTCTGTTGTATTCAATGAAATGTGCATGAAAGAAGGATTGCTGCCTAAATGCACAAAATATATATATATATATATATATATATAGATAGATATATAGATATATATAGATATAGATATATGTATGCATATATAATTCCCTATTTATATATATATATATATATATATATATATATAGGGTGTAATGGATAAATTGTCTTCTAAATTACACAAGAATGTAAATAACACCGACATCTCATTTTAACAGATATATTTGCGAAAATTACACAAAAATATCTTGAAATATTAAAGAGTAAATTTATTCAATAAAGTCTTCAACCTTATTCTCCAACCTTGTAACTCTTCTTCTTGTTTCAGTTAGTGAATGCTGCCATAATCCTTGCCTTCAGTTCATCTTTGGTGTTACAAGGAATTTTGCTGGTTTCAGTTCCCCATACATAATTTGCACACATAGCTGCACGTCTGGGGAGTTAGGTGACCAGATATAAGGGGTGATGTGGTTGCAGAAATTGTCTGACAGCCATGACTGGGTTCTCCTGCTTGTGTGGCATGGGGCAGAGTCCTGTTGCCAGACATAGGGCCTTCCAGCAGCCACTTTCTTGACCCAGGGCAGCACTACCTCCTCAAGGTACTTGATGTAGGACTCCATGTTGAGTCTGGGCCCCTCATGAAGAAATTCAGGAGTTCTTTTCTTAATCAGAATGAGTTTTCTAAACTTCCATACCTTCGTAATCACCATTAGACTCATCCAACTCTTTCCGAATCCTCTGAACTGTCCTCAGATTGACACACAAACACTCTGAAATATTTGTATTGGAGATTCTGGCATGAATACCAAGCA